CAGTTGGGAAATGATGACATGTGTCAACCAAGTCAGCAAACCTGACCACACGATTCCGTTAATCGCCTCTTATGACTAGCATGTGTTGCTGTAGACCAATTCTAAACCGGATCATCACGGGTTCATTTTTTTAGGTACATCAACTCCTAATATGGTTGCACGTCCTTTCGGTTACAACAGCTACCTGTTACTTCTAAAAGTGAATAAATCTGTCAATACACCCTTTTCCCTCAAGACCTTCACAATGTGGACTACTTCGTAATGCGAGGAAGGGACGATAGCGGTAGTGTAGCCTCGTGGTTGAAGCGTTCGCTCGTCACGCCGAAGTTGCGGGTTTGATGCCCCTCATGAGGAAAAATATGTAAAGTCCATTTCTGGAGACTAATGTCATGATATTACTTAAAGTAACTTAAAACCATCCACGTTCACTACTAATACGAGGGGCGGTGGGGTAGCCTAGTTGTTAAAGCGTTCTCTCGTCACGCCAAAGACCCGGATTCGATTCCCTACGTGAATACAATGTGTGAAGCCCATTTCTGGTGTCCCCCGCAATGATATTGCTGAAATATTGCTAAAAGCGGCGTAAAACTAAACTCACTCACTATTAAAACGACCAGCCTCCACCATCGTGTTGATAGAAGCGGGAGGTCGGTGGTTCCATCCTCGGTAACGTCATTCCAAATGACGTTAAAAGGTATTACTTGTTACCCTGCCCTACTCTCGGTATTAAAAAATATAAATCAAGAACTGATCGGATCAGAGACAGAATACTGTGTCTGAGTGGGGTATCCATGTTAAGACTACGACAAGGTATCTCAAAGGGCTAGCACACGCATAAGCATGCGTAACGCTACGTAAGTGCAGTAATCTTAATCGCGACGCTATTCCCCTTTAGCTTCACTTCACAGCGTTATTTGCGGAGTCTTCGTTAGCGCAATTGTCAAGTCTGTTCCCGGAGTTCCCCTGGAACATCGCTCACTCATGATATCAATGCTAAAATCAATGCTCATCTATCATAACTGTTTCCCAACAAAACTACATGTCCAACTGTCTATGGAGAAAACGGAGCAGTGGTTATTTAGAGTCTAGAACTACCACATACCCAGCTGTGGTATATGCAGTCATTAACTATCTACTTCTTCCAATTCCAGACAAATGATAACTAATTTTGGTAAATTCGAACTTCCGTCTTGAAAACAGTAGGGTTCTTTCTTTGTGATTACAAAAAAAGAGCTGCGAATCGGGTTGACTTAATGAATGAGTATAGTTTTTACACCATTTTCAGCAAAATCAAGATTTTTGTCACTTGAGACACGTATATGAAATGAGCTCACGATGTCACAGAAATGAGCTCACGATGTCACAGTTTAAGATTCGTACCCGATTCTTTGAAGAGATTAATGATGTCATTTGATTGTGATTTGTTTATGCAACCATGGTAACCAATAACATCGCAATTGTTTGTAGGGCATTGTGATGCAGTTTCTGTGTATCGGTATCTCCCAGGAGCTGGCACAATCGATATCTCCCATGACATTTCTTATTTAAATAACTCTATTTACGTTATTTAAATACATTTTTTTTATCGTGATCGAACAATTTTTAAATATTTTGTTTTGTTTTATAGTTCCCAATAAGTTGAGTACAAGCCTACAGAGGAATGTGTGTACATAACAGTGTGTGGGGGGAACAGAGATACAATACATTAAACACCAATATCAACAGCAATATGTTTTGGTTGAATAGTTATTCAGGATTAAATACTGGGTACTGAGGAACCCATTTGGTTGAGAAACTTTCAAAATTATCATTTCTACTGGAAATGAAATTTTCAGTGGTGAATATGTCTTTCAGTATCTTTAAGTAATTATCATCTTTTGGAATTTTTTTCAAAGAGCTAGTGTAAATATATCTCTCTTAGAAGATTATGTGATTCAGTAATAAACCCCAAAAATATATGTAGAGAGAGACCCGCACACACAGTTCAAATAACCAACCCAAACGATTTTGACAATCTCCGATACATAAAATATCACATCTTATGACCAAATGTATGTACTTTATCTGTCTGCTCGTCTTTGTCATTGTCGATCTGCCCTTCATTAACAGAGGCAAAGAAAACACTTATTGAACAACAAGAGTTCCTCCCCAGCCAGATCTCGAGTGTGTTTGCAGTTAACAGGGGTATAGTTTGACTGTACAAGATATACAGATAGCATTAGAATGCCGAACACTTTGTAACCCGATACTGCAAAGGTGGGCACGACCTGCAGTTTATACATATATGTCATTTACATATTTCATATCTATGTCATCGTGACCTAAAATCATTTGTGGTGTCGGTATTGATTTCTCATTTCAATACTCGTATCACTCATTTGATCACAACAACTGCAGCATATACAGTACGTTTATAACGAAGTGACGGATGTAACGAACTGTTTTCGTGCTGTATATTTTAGTCGAAATGCGCACAACAAATTAGGGTTATAACGAACTGAAATTAAGGGTCGTTTTGAGTTCGTTATAACCGTAGGGGTTTACTGTATTTATATTGATGGAATAAATGTCTTCTCACATCTTTGGTGAGTTAGTGAGTTTTATGACGTTTTTGTTTAGATATTTAAGTGTAAGGGCGAGACATGGTTCTACATGGAGACACGCACCGACACACACAGACAGACAGACAGAGCGGGAAGTTCCACGATGTACTGAGTAAAGGAGCGCCGTTTTCGCAGTATTCCAGCAATGCCACGGCCTGGCACACCAGAAATGGGCTTCAAAGATTGTAGACATGTAGGGCAGACTGAAGGAAAAACCGACGACTGACAGAGAAGCGCTGAGACACGACTGAAAGACAAATACGTTGATCCACGGACAAATACATAATGACAGACGCAGACCGGCTGAGACACGACAGAGAGGTAAAGCCATGGACCCAAAGGCAGATACATATAGATGAAAACCAGCTGAGACACGACATGGACGCAAAGACAGATACATATAGATGAAGACAAGCTGAGTCACGACATGGATCTAAAGACAGATGCATATAGATGAAGACAAGCTGAGTCACGACATGGACCTAAAGACAGATGCATATAGATGAAGACCAGCTGAGTCACGACATGGACCTAAAGACAGATGCATATAGATGAAGATCGGCTGAGTCACGACATGGATCTAAAGACAGATGCATATAGATGAAGACAAGCTGAGTCACGACATGGACCTAAAGACAGATACATATAGATGAAGACCAGCTGAGTCACGACATGGATCTAAAGACAGATGTATATAGATGAAGACCAGCTGAGTCACGACATGGATCTAAAGACAGATGCATATAGATGCATACCACGTGAGTCACTAGAGACTCGCGGAGAAACAGACCCAAAACAACCAAACGCTTACAAACACTCAAAGACTCAGGTCCTTAGACAGAACAGAGTTGACACGACAGACAGACAAGCAGGCAAAAAGCCCGGAAACATATAAGAATCTATACCGAAACGTCGCCATTGTGAAAATAAAAAAGTTGATCATCCATAAAGTCTTGTCATCTCTATACCTTCAAGTTCTAGAAAGCCACTCAAACAAATCATGCATATGTGCTTACCTTCATATACTGTGTTACGTTCATATACTGTGTTACCTTCATATACTGTGTTACGTTCATATACTGTGTTACCTTCATATACTGTGTTACGTTCATATACTGTGTTACGTTCATATATGAAATACGAAACCCATCACTAAATTATATATAGCCAGCTGCGACGTCTCGACACAATATTTCCAATACATTCCATATAGCAACAAGGATATAATAAATATTTGAACAAACTACACATGTCGAATCAGTACCACAATACAAACTTATCACACAGCTAATATATCGCGATCTTGTAAACTGTTTAAAACGGATACCCGTATTTCTAAACAACAATGTAACCAAAGGCAAATGGCGATCGTAGGTCGTGTTTCTAAAGGACCAGTTTCAATGCCTTACCGATCCGTATTCACAGTAGGGTCATTGAATGACACCACTAACGAGAATGTATACATATATATCTAGTGGTTTCACGGGCATTTGAGAAAAGGTCTCAGTTTAGAATCATCGGAGCGTGTACATACATTGCTAAGGTCCCATCCAACAATATCCAGGAACTGAGGGTGTGTGTGTGTTTGGTGACAAGTATTGTCATGTGTCTGCATGACACTGCCACCATGTCAACACCGTATTGTGCTGTTCAGAATATCACAATTTGATGCAAATCGATTTTGTGGGCAAACATATCCGTCAGATATGTCTATAGTGTACTCGTTGCATAGTTACACTTAAGTCGATATATCTGGTAGATAATGAATCGATATGTGATATCAATCATATCGGTGTTGTCAAGATAACAAAAATATCATTCATATCATATTTGTAACATTGAAATATTTTTTAATGTTATGATTTAATAATATTCTATATCAGTTAATGAAATCGCGTAGGCTTCTTGTCATTAAAATAATTTCAAATCTCGCCTTTCAATAATATTACACTGTGAAAAGATTATATACATAACAGAGAGTTGCTATGTAGTGGTATCGTCATGAATTATGATTAGGTGAGTAAAACTGAATTATACACATCAAAGTATTCAATCATTATCGCAAAGTATTCAATCATTATCGTGGCAATGTATGTATGTATGTATGTATGTATGTATGTATGTATGTATGTATGTATGTATGTATGTATGTATGTATGTATGTATGTATGTGTGTGTGTGTGTGTGTGTGTGTGTGTGTGTGTGTGTGTGTATGTATGTATGTATGTATGTTTGTATGTATGTATGTATGTACTGTACAACGAATATATTTCCTCTACAATATACTAATATATTTCCATTAAAAAATCAATGAATAGTGCATTCATATTTAATAAAATCTAAAAACTGAACATGTAAACACGATAAAGTTACTAAGGCAACTGTCTACAAACTTACCTTTTTGACGAGGCAAGCATATAGCCTGCCCCCATCCCGCTAGCCATGATGTTTCAAGTGTAAAATATTCCTATCCACGAATAGTCTGAGAAAATCTAAATATGACACCTGCCCGCCTTCGTGAGACCCCGACACGCTCTTGACACGGCCTGGAGTGAGTATGCTTCAGTATTCCAACTCAGTACTAATACCCATCGACTTAGCGGATTTATCGAACTACTTTTTGTGTCGGAGGTCGATGTGGGTGCGCAGCGGTGGTCGATTTCTGACGTTGCGAAGGAATCTAACCTCCCAGACACTTGATCACGTGATTTTTTCACCGCGGTCTTCGACATTGGATACCTTGTCGCGTGTTGTGATGTATAGAGATGTGTTCGGAATTACAAGGTTGTTGTTACACATGGTTAATCGGTCGTGTTCAAACAACATAACATAATCTATAAACCGTTGTGGTTGTCATTAGATTAATCAAAACATGGAATAAAATCCGTACATTAATGAAATAAAATTTACGAATAAAAAATATATAATATTGAATCCGCAAATTTTTACTACCATCTGTATGTTTATTCAATGCACATATCGATTTCATATCCAAACTGGACATATAAATGACAGGAAATCTGTTGAGGAAATAATGTAATTTATTCAAACAGAATTGTGCCACAAAAGAGTATTGAAATAAAAATATCTAGTTACTGCTGTTCTACCAATCGAATTGGTGATGACAATCTCTTTTATTAGTACTTTTTAAATTCCTGACGTCATATACCACATAATTTTGTTTCGTCTGGGAATAAAAATTCAAGCTGCCGCTTACAAGTTTGAGTACAACGCAAGAGTAATTATCCTGAATAAGTCTAGATTGTTAATCAAGTAAATGGAATACGTGACGATATATGTAATGAAAAAGGGAGGTAACTGCTGCTGGGTTGAAACAGACGTGGCTCTGTAATTCATCTAACGGTTCAATGCTTATCAGGGAGCGTGTCTAACGCCGTACATTGTTTTCTCAACAAAAGCCTGGTTTATTGCAAATCGATAGCCGTGATTAGTTAGCTGATAGGCAGGGAGATTACAAGCATTACAGGATTCGAACTCGTACATGTACTAAAGCGGATTGGAACTCCTTCAAGAGATCTAGTGTGTATACTATTACGTCACAGAGGAGGGGTGACGGACATGTTTTGGTGTGTAGGGACACAGATGTATGGGTATTATAATAGCTACGGTCATGGGTTACCATGCGACGGGTTTACACACATGCTTCTACCTGTTTGATAAACCAGGGAGTCAAAGTGGAAAACATTGCTTTAAACCGCGGCTCCTTTGTCTTTGACTAGGGACGGTGGGTAGCCTAGTGGTTAAAGCGTTTGTCCGTCACGGCGAAGACCCGGATTCGATTCTACACATTGCTACAATATTTCTTGTGACCTACGCTGTGGTATTGCTGGAATAGTATTAAAACGGCGTAAAACCATACTCACTCATTCCTAAACTGAAGGCATTTGTCACTGAGAGGACTTCAGATCACAATAGTTGGACGAAAAAAGATTTTCAGTTGCAGGAAACCTGTGACATACCTTATTTAGTATTTTATGTGATCTCCGAAACCTCACAGGCTCCAAAGTACCAAATATAATAAGCGTGCTTGAGATCTTTAGACATATACTATAGTACCTCTTAATGTACGGTGAAGGTGCTGGTGAGGTGAGGTGAAATTGGGTTTAACGTCGTGCTTGAGATCTTGATATATATACTATAGTACCTCTTAATGTACGGTATAGGTGCTGGTGAGGTGAGGTGAAATTGGGTTTAACGTCGTGCTTGAGATCTTGAGACATATACTATAGTACCTCTTAATGTACAGTATAGGTGCTGGTGAGGTGAGGTGAAATTGGGTTTAACGTCGTGCTTGAGATCTTGAGATATATAGTACCTCTTAATGTACGGTATAGGTGCTGGTGAGGTGAGGTGAAATTGGGTTTAACGTGGTGCTTGAGATCTTAAGATATATACTATAGTACCTCTTAATGTACGGTATAGGTGCTGGTGAGGTGAGGTGAAATGGGGTTTAACGTCGTGCTTGAGAATATTTCGCTCATATGACGACGTGAATGCGTGTGTATGTGTATGTGCGGTTGCTTGTACTAGCCTAGTCTGTCTCACAGTCCCTGAACCACATTATTTACCCCTCTGCCAAGCCCTCTCTGTAGTGCTGAAGCCCTAAATAAAGCAAGTCTAGATTTCCTCAGGTTCTGAATCTCTGGTCTCCCTGGGGCTCCTTTTCAATTTAAATGGGCTTGTTTGTTACTATCAAAATTATATATATTCAGAGACTAAGCATTAGTCTAGTACTAGCCCAGACTGAAGCTGGTTTTATAGTGCCAGCCCACTGTGATACCATGCCGCAGTTAAGCATGAATACCCCACTTAGACACATTATACTGACTCCGAGCCGACCAGTCCTTGTTGTACCCATTAACAACAACTTATGTAGTATTCTGACATGGAGATATATAAGAAATGTGGCATTAACAAGGGCATGATTATCAACATCAATACATATATACTACTTAAATGTAACGATGCTAAATATATTGTTCAATACAAATGTATTTTTTCTGAAACTATATGAAGCATCATTCAATACATAAAAATAGATAACTCTCCTTCACGGTCATGATTCACAATATGTACGTACATGTTCATGCAAGGCTCAGAAATTTGGATGATTGCGTTTTGTTGGTAGAATGATGCTTACATGTTTAAACAAGAACAACATGTGCTCATGTAACACATTGTGTCTCGCCGTATATAACGCCGTGTCAACAAAGATAGCGGTCGCAGTCGCGAAGGTTTGTTCGCAGTGCCACTCAGATTTTTGGGGAAATCATACAGACAAATTGACAGATCTGAAACTTTAAGAATATATATGAAAGAACTCCTTCTACCTCTTTCAGAGTACCTCTGCATCAATTGTGTTGCCAAGTCTAAAAGGTTAGATAATTTAAGAAGCGAAAGTGAGTTGTGATTGGCTCGCTCAACTTCCCAGCGTAGACACCCGATTGGATAAAAAGCCAGCAAAGGGAGGTAATAAATTCCATGTATACCCTAATCCATGTATACCCTGGAGATTATCGAGGATGTGTCACGGGTAGGAATGGCATAAAAAGACATTTAATATGTTCTCTTTTGAGACGTTATCTGCATCATGTCAGGGCTCATGTCTTGCTATGGTCTGGTCCTCCACCTGTGAAGTCACGTCAACAAGGCAACCATATTCGGTTGGTGCATCTACCGAATTGATACACCGATGCTACATCAGTTATTGGGTGCAGACAATTTGGTTGCAGAACCGTACGCAACCGACTGAGGGAGCACAGTGACGTATCCAGCGATACACTCAATGTTGATTCCACGTCACCGTCAGACACGCCCCCTTTTAGGAAGGGTCTCTCTGCCTCTGTTTTCCAAATCATTGAGAAATATCTCAGCTGATTGTACAGCTCCTTCTATATCATGAGCATGTGGTTATGAATCACTATTAGATAGTTGTGATACAAGGAAAGGCTTCACCTCTTGTCGTTATTATAGGTATTTTAATTTGTTTTTTGATTTGGTCGCTTTTCGAAACGTATAGCTAGTATACATACTTGATCAGGGCCATGTATGCTTATAATAGACCCATCAACATGTCACATGACTGAAACTAAAGTCCAATACGCTTTACATAACTCAAATAGATTTAAGAAGGCTTGATCGGGATCCTTGATGTCTAACTGACACGGTAAAATTAATGTCCACACCATGTCATTTTTAACAATGTGATCGAATAAATCGCCAGGCAGTCCTGTTCAACGGGTATTGTTGTGCGTATTGATTTCTCAAGCTAGACGAGTTCACCATATTTGTTAGCGCGGCGCCGAAGATCCGAAACTCATACAGCTTCTTTGTTATTTGTTATGTAAATCTGGCAGGACGAGAAAATTACGTGTAAAAAACTACTAACTGATTATCTGAATTTATATCTAAAGAATGGATGGTCGATACAAATTGTTATCAAAGGTTCCAAGAGCGTGTCTCTTTTCAAAGGATACTCGATCGATAACACATGCAGGACATATATCCTGAAGTAAGAAAATAATTTTACAGCCTTTGAAACATCTTACTTGGACATTTGTGTGGACCAACGTACCACAGATATAAAGCGATCTTGATATCTGGGGAAAAAACAGGTATCTAGGTGCGGATACATTTATTAAACAGAAGCCAGAGACCTGATTTGGTTGTGGAGGTGTGTGGTCCTGTGCATAGAGCTCAGGTCACAAATCAGTTGAAGTTGAACAACATTGGGCGCGGAAAGTCCTTGGATGGGTGGCAGCTTGACTCCTGAGAGTTTCTAGGACTTCAGCTCTGCCCCACAACGAAGCACATGTGATACATGTGGTCTCACCGTAGTCAAGTGAGTTTCTTCAAAATTGCCTCTGTTCACCCAGCAGAAAATGGGTACCCGGTGTGACAAGTCATTTGACTATAAGCTTCTAGGGTAGTAATAATCAGATTATATTTGTGCGCTTTGAGCAGGATATGAAGCGTTAGATATTCTACATTATTATTCTACATTACTGTAGCAAAGTACAACTGGCATCGGGGCCGAGTTGCTCAAACCGATCTTAGTGCTACGATTGTCCTGATTATAAGTATGTGTCAAAGTATTGGAGGTACGGTCATCGTAACGCTAAGATCGCTTTGTACAAGTGAACCCTGTACCATAACGTCTCATTCAAAGACTTAAGAAGTCCGTACATCAATCCTGTCTACAGCGATGCTACGATTCCCAGGGAGAGAGTTAAACCATTACATCTCATCATCAGCTTCATTTCGGTCATTTAGCGACGAGACACGAGTCCACACATATATACAAGTCCTACGGCTTCATGATCGCTTGACTGTAAGGGTGAACAATACACACTACTTCTTCGTCTCAATAGATCTCTGTACATGGACAATGTATTCACGTATACCTGGAATTAATCACATCTCGTATTGTAGAACCGCCCTCTGATATAGGCACTTCATCTGGGGGCTCTACAAACACATTCCTTTGAACTTCGCTTAACTGAGAGAATTAAAAAACTGCGCTATAATTAATACACGGGGTGATTAGTAACAATCTGAAAGAAAACAACCTTATAGCCAAAAGAAGCTCTAACAATTTCAAAAGGAAATTAAAAAATATCAAACTAGATCAATGCAAATCGCCTCGTCAAACACAACAATGATCTGTGCAGAAATATTAACGGCACGTTTTCTTTTCTGTTTGTAGAAAATCTGAAACAGTGAAAAACACTAGTTATTCGGCAGTCGGAGCTACACGTAAAATAGGGGTATATATATGTCAGTGAGTGAGTGAGTGAGTATGGTTTTACGCCGCTTTTAGCAATATTCCAGCATTATCACGACGGGGACACCAGAATTGGGCTTCACACATTGTACCCATGTGGAGGATCGAACCCGGGTCTTCGACGTGACGAGCGAACGCTTTAACCTGTAGGCTACCCCACCGCCCCAATAAATGTTATTGACGGCATGTGAGACGCTCACACTGATAATAACAACCACTTTTGGTTGCTCCAGTGTTGCTGTAACTAACCTGTTATACCGTTACAAACAAGCCAAACACAGGCTGACCCAGGGCGTGATTGAAGAACAGTATATCTGTAGTTATCATCTCCGGAATCGATTCAGGACAGTGACGTCATCAGCGTGGAATGCCAAATGCCATATAGATAGACAACAGATGATGGCCAGGCAACTCAGGATCAAGGAATTAGGGATTACGGATATTACAGGGGACAGTTATTTTCAGCGCAACATCGTACTCAGAGATTGAGATGAGTCTACTGTACGCCGTGGCAGCGACGTGACTGCCAGAGGGTCTTCTTCACTAACAGAACCTGTTCTATCTGTTCAGAGCTGTTGGAAGACAGTGTGTTTACTGACAAAGCGGCAGTTATTTACTACAAATGGCGGCATTTTATGTTGTGGGGAATAATTTGTGGGCAGGAGAACATCACTGGTTATCGTTAAGGGAAATTTGACAGTTCAGCGTTGCATGGATTGCACTGTTCGTCCAGCTGTCCTACCATTGCACTGGTGACCTTTGTCAATACTACACCACCATGCAGCTCGAATTGTAAGGAACAACCTTGCAGCCAACAACGTGAATGTGTTGCGTGTCCCGATACATGTCCCCTACAGAACACCTCATGGGTGTCATGGATCGCCGTGTTCGACAACGACCACATCTTCTAGAAAACAGACAAGAACCGACCCATGCCCTCCAAGAAGGGCGATACCAGTTGCTATATGACTGTCTTTACAAAGAGTTAGTTTTACTTCATGTGGAGCAACATTCAAGCAGTTCCTCTTCCAGAGAGAACGCCAACTTGGATGGGCATATCCTAGTTTAATATGGACAACAATCAGACACAGTATACCGGACGTATTACGATCCACTGATGCATATCCTTGTGAGGTGAGGTGAAATTGGGTTTAACGTCGTGCTTGAGAATATTTCGCTCATATGACGACGTGCATGCGTGTGTATGTGTATGTGCGGCTGCTTGTACTAGCCCAGACTAAAGCTGTTTTTATAGTGCTAGCCCACTGAGTTACCATGCCGCAGTGAAGCATGAATACCCCACTCAGACACATTATACTGACTCCGAGCCGACCAGTCCTTGTTGTACCCATTAATGCCGAGCGCCAGGCAGGGACCAACAAGTACCATATTTTAACGTCTTTTGGTATTACGCGGTCGGGGATCGAACCCGCGACCTTCCGCACTCCAGGCGGACGCTCTAACCACTACACCACGGAGGCGGTCCATATCCTTGTACCCGAATTTGGTAGATCGTTGCTCATCATGTCAATCACAGGATTATCTGATATAGACTGATCAAAGACCGCCATTACTTGTTTTAGGCAAAGAAACAACAAATACCATTTTCAACATCTTTTAGTATGACGCGGATCGAAGCACCACCTTCCGCCCTCCGGACAGACGCTTTATCCACTTGACGACGATGGTAGGTCAATGTAATATCCACAAAGTAATTCCTTTGATAAAGGACAGTAATTGGGGCTTTTACGGCTGTCGTGTTCTGGCCTCTACAATAGATACTGATATCACGTTCTGATATGGACATCAGTTTTGGGTCACACAAGTATGGCTGAATTTCGAGTAAAAGGCCTTGTTGCGGCGACATTCACTCCATTTGACGACAATGGGTAGGTGTAGACGTGCGATCGCAGGTTGTACAACTGTCTATGCTAATGAAGCAGTATGTTTCTCTCTGCGTCCCATGGGTCTCCGATTAATCCCCTTGTTCGTTGGAGATGCACGGACTGACCAGAGAACGAGGTGTAGATCGTGATAGGACATATCATATATTTAGTAGATTACGTTTACGTCCAACAGAGAGGTCGGTACATATACTCAACGATATCACTAACACAAGTGGTTGTGTAGTTTTTGCTTTTAAAAAATCGAAATATTATCACTGTACCATAAAAAGTGGGAAAATGTGCTGTTCTTATACGTTCAAATACATCATTGACTTTTAGTCTCGTCAGTTTTTTCAAATCGGTTTAAAACATGCAATTAAATTATCTACAGCAATTGGAAATTAAATATTCCACACGTCTGTGAAATTTCATAGCCGACGGCGGATACAGTGCCGCGCGAGCACAATTCTCGCACAATTCACTTTTCGGATCTTATGCAAATGTGCGAATGTGAAATAACTTGGCATCCAGCGGGGCAACCCCGAAATCTGAACCATTCCTAAAATATGACGTGGGCTGGCACATGCTTGAGTCTTGACCAGATAATCAAGTGATTGGGCTTTAGCAACGATCCTTAGAATAACACTCAAGCAAGCAGGTCATTGAGTGTGGTCACGAAATCCTGTAATTCGCCTATTACGGCCAGCGAAAGTTGATGTATAGCATAGTGATTGATGTTGTATCTTACAGGGATGTATATCATAGTGAATGATGTTGTATGTTACAGGGATGTATTTCAAAGTGAATGATGTTGCATATAACAGGGATGTATATCATAGTGAAGGATGTTTTATGTTACAGGGATGTATTTCAAAGTGAATGATGTTGCATATAACAGGGATGTATATCAAAGTGAATGATGTTGTTTGTTACAGGGATGTATTTCAAAGTGAATGATGTTGCATATAACAGGGATGAATATCATAGTGAATGATGATGTATGTTACAGGGATGTATTTCAAAGTGAATGATGTTGCATATAACAGGGATGTATATCATAGTGAATGATGTTGTTTGTTACAGGGGTGTATTTCAAAGTGAATGATGTTGCATATAACAGGGATGTATATCATAGTGAAGGATGTTGTTTGTTACAGGGGTGTATTTCAAAGTGAATGATGTTGCATATAACAGGGATGTATATCATAGTGAATGATGTTGTTTGTTACAGGGGTGTATTTCAAAGTGAATGATGTTGCATATAACAGGGATGTATATCATAGTGAATGATGTTGTTTGTTACAGGGGTGTATTTCAAAGTGAATGATGTTGCATATAACAGGGATGTATATCATAGTGAATGATGATGTATGTTACAGGGATGTATTTCAAAGTGAATGATGTTGCATATAACAGGGATGTATATCAAAGTGAATGATGTTGTTTGTTACAGGGATGTATTTCAAAGTGAATGATGTTGCATATAACAGGGATGTATATCATAGTGAATGATGATGTATGTTACAGGGATGTATTTCAAAGTGAATGATGTTGCATATAACAGGGATGTATATCATAGTGAATGATGTTGTATGTTACAGGGATGTATTTCAAAGTGAATGATGTTGCATATAACAGGGATGTATATCATAGTGAATGATGATGTATGTTACAGGGATGTATTTCAAAGTGAATGATGTTGCATATAACAGGGATGTATATCATAGTGAATGATGTTGTATGTTACAGGGATGTATTTCAAAGTGAATGATGTTGCATATAACAGGGATGTATATCAAAGTGAATGATGTTGTTTGTTACAGGGGTGTATTTCAAAGTGAATGATGTTGCATATAACAGGGATGTATATCGTAGTGAATGATGTTGTTTGTTACAGGGGTGTATTTCAAAGTGAATGATGTTGCATATAACAGGGATGTATATCATAGTGAATGATGTTGTTTGTTACAGGGGTGTATTTCAAAGTGAATGATGTTGCATATAACAGGGATGTATATCATAGTGAATGATGTTGTTTGTTACAGGGATGTATTTCAACGTAAAGGATGTTACACTGCTGTATATCATAGTGAAGGATGTTGTATGTTACAGGGATGTATTTCAACGTAAATGATGTTGCATATAACAGAGATGTATATCATAGTGAAGGATGTTGTATGTTACAGGGATGTATATCAAAGTGAATGATGTTGTTTGTTACAGGGGTGTATTTCAACGTAAATGATGTTACACTGGTGTATATCAGTGAATGTGTATATCAAAGTGAAGGATGTTGTATGTTACAGGGATGTATATCAAAGTGGATGTTGTTGGTGTTACACTGGTGTATGTTCATGGTGAATGGATGTTATGTTACTGGTGTATATCAAAGTGGATGATGTATGTTACACTGGTGTATATCAAAGTGGATGATGTATGTTACAGGGATGTATATCAAAGTGGATGATGTTGAACGTTACACTGGTGTAACTCATAGTGAATTATGTTACACTGGTGTATATCAGTGAATGATGTATGTTACAGGGATGTATATCAAAGTGGATGATGTTGAACGTTACACTGGTGTAACTCATAGTGAATTATGTTACACTGGTGTATATCAGTGAATGATGTATGTTACAGGGATGTATATCAAAGTGGATGATGTTGAACGTTACACTGGTGTAACTCATAGTGAATTATGTTACACTGGTGTATATCAGTGAATGATGTATGTTACAGGGATGTATATCAAAGTGGATGATGTTGAACGTTACACTGGTGTAACTCATAGTGAATTATGTTACACTGGTGTATATCAGTGAATGATGTATGTTACAGGGATGTATATCAAAGTGGATGATGTTGAACGTTACACTGGTGTAACTCATCATAGTGGACTGTTGTATGTTACACTGGTGTATATCAAAGTGGATGATGTTGAATGTTACACTGATGTATATCATAGTGATGATGTTGTACGTTACAGGGATGTACTCAAAGTGGATGCTGTTGAATGTTACACTGGTGTATATCATGAGTGGATGATGTATGTTACAGGGATGTATATCATAGTGGATGATGTTGAACTGGTGTACACTGGTGAATGATATATGTTAGTGGATGTATATGTTACAGTGGATGTATATCGTTACAGTGGATGTAACTCACAGTGAATTATGTTACACTGGTGTATATCAGTGAATGATGTATGTTACAGGGATGTATATCAAAGTGGATGATGTTGAACGTTACACTGGTGTAACTCATAGTGAATTATGTTACACCGGTGTATATCAGTGAATGATGTATGTTACAGGGATGTATATCATAGTGGATGCTGTTGAATGTTACACTGGTGTTACTCATAGGGAATGATGTATGTTACATGGATGTATATCATAGTGGCTGCTGTTGAACGTTACACTGGGGTAACTCATAGTGAATGATATTACACCGGTGTATATCTTACTCAATGGTGTTTTATGTTACAGGGATGTTGTCCTCAGCAAGATCGAGGACCATATCCAGTATTTAAAAGAGGTCGATGTTAAACATGTCTTCGGTAAGTCAAGTCGACCGCATCCTACGTTGCCAAATGCATTTTGTAAACAAGCGTTAATTCTTACGGTTTGATACAAAAAGAAAAGGTCATAACAGATCTTTCAGCGTGACCACAAGATTGTTTTGGTAGTTGAGAGTTAGTTCCTGTTCGCAGTAAATGGAGCCACGGGGGAAGGTATGTCCTTGACCTTGGAGGAAAGGAAGGTCATCGCTGCTGAATGGGTCAAGGCCAACAATGGACGGTAAGGGTTATTACCGTAATTCAAATCAAGTGGAACCGCATATCACAGAATAATCTTCAGATATTATCTGAATATCAACATAAACACTTAACATCATTGCAGTATCAGTATGTCCCTCAAACACCAACACATCAGCATGTCCCCCCAAACCATCATGCCAGCATGTCCCTCAAACACCATCATATCAGTATGTCCCTCAAACACCATCACATCAGCATGTCCCTCAAACACCATCACATCAGCATGTCCCTCAAACACCATCATATCAGCATGTCCCTCAAACACCATCATATCAGCATGTCCCTCAAACACCATCATATCAGCATGTCCCTCAAACACCATCATATCAGCATGTCCCTCAAACACCATCATATCAGCATGTCCCTCAAACACCATCACATCAGCATGTCCCTCAAACACCATCACATCAGCATGTCCCTCAAACACCATCACATCAGCATGTCCTCAAACACCATCACCATCATGTCCCTCAAACACCATCATGTCAGCATGTCCCTCAAACACCATCATATCAGCATGTCCCTCAAACACCATCATATCAGCATGTCCCTCAAACACCATCACATCAGCATGTCCCTCAAACACCATCATATCATCATGTCAGCCATCTCAAACACCATCACTGTCAGCATGTCCCATCCAAACACCATCACTGTTCCCTCAAACCATCACATCAGCATGTCCCATCACTGTTCCATGTACCATCCAAACACCATCACTGCATGTCCCAAACACCATCCAAACACCACTGTTCCATCAAACACCATTCCCAGTACCATCATCCAAACACCATCACCTGTTCCAGTCCAAACACATTACTGTTCCATCCAAACACCATCACTGTTCCAGTACCATCCAAACACCATCACTGTTCCAGTACCATCCAAACACCATCCACTCCAAACACCCAGTACCATCCAAACACCACCATCCACCTGTTCCAGTACCATCCAAACACCATCACTGTTCCAGTACCCATCCAAACACCATCACTGTTCCAGTACCATCCAAACAACCATCACTGTTCCAGTACCATCCAAACACCATCACTGTTCCAGTTCCAGTACCATCCAAACACCATCACTGTTCCAGTACCATCCAAACACCATCACTGTTCCAGTACCATCCAAACACCATCCAAAACCACTGTTCCAGTACCATCCAAACACCATCACTGTTCCAGTACCATCCAAACACCATCACTGTTCCAGTACCATCCAAACACCACCACTGTTCCAGTACCATCCAAACACCATCACTGTTCCAGTACCATCCAAACACCATCACTGTTCCAGTACCATCCAAACACCATCACTGTTCCAGTACCATCCAAACACCATCATTCCAGTACCTGTTCCAGTACCATCCAAACACCATCACTGTTCCAGTACCATCCAAACACCATCACTGTTCCAGTACCATCCAAACACCATCACTGTTCCAGTACCATCCAAACACCATCACTGTTCCAGTACCATCCAAACACCATCACTGTTCCAGTACCATCCAAACACCATCACTGTTCCAGTACCATCCAAACACCATCACTGTTCCAGTACCATCCAAACACCATCACTGTTCCAGTACCATCCAAACACCATCACTGTTCCAGTACCATCCCAAACACCATCACTGTTCCAGTACCATCCAAAAACACCATCACTGTTCCAGTACCATCCAAACACCATCACTGTTCCAGTACCATCCAAACACCATCACTGTTCCAGTACCATCCAAACACCATCACTGTTCCAGTACCATCCAAACACCATCACTGTTCCAGTACCATCCAAACACCATCACTGTTCCAGTACCATCCAAACACCATCACTGTTCCAGTACCATCCAAACACCATCACTGTTCCAGTACCATCCAAACACCATCACTGTTCCAGTACCATCCAAACACCATCACAATATCAGTTCACAAAAATACCACTGTATAATGCCATATAATGCCATAAAAATACCATTGTACCAGCATGCCCCTAAACTACAATCGTAATACCAATATGCCCCTCAGATACTATCGCAGTATCAGCATTGCAGAGCAGTGCTAGTATGTCCCTGAATAACACCATACTAACAGCAAATAATCTCCCATTCAAGGTAACGCAAACCATATAGACTAACTGTTCCTTGTCTTTCAGACTAGACACCATCATTATGCACGTTGGGTGTGCAAACCTCCGGGACACCCAAACATTGGTATTTATTTCTTTTCTTTCTTTGTTTAATCATGATGCCCCGTTATTGATGAATTAGGGACGAACCATGTTGTTTCTGGAAAGGAAATGACGAAACTGGATCGGTCGGTCATTTGGACTAACTGTGTGTCTACGTACCTCGATGGCGTGGATCATTGCTCGTGTTGACTGTCACTGGTATACATAGACTGTGTACAGGTCGCCACGATAGAGCTGGAAGAATGCCGAGTGCGGCGTTACGCAACATTCTGTCAACTGTTTGAAGTTTCAAGTTTCCCTATATAACCACATGGGGTAGCCTAGTGGTTAAACCTCTGCGAAATCCCCGGGACCTGGATCCGATCCCTATATGGGTACACTGTGTGAAACCCATTTCTAGTGCCCCCCCCGTGATTTTTATGATATAATGCTTAAAAGTGGCGTAAAACCCAACTCACTCACTTGTCTAGAATATTCCAACAGACCAATGCAATTCAGTATTTTGATACAGAAGGCGTTTTCAAATGGCAAACAGATATTAGCCTGCATAGCCTGCAGTTAGATATCAATCTGTCATATTTGTGTTTTAACGCCAAACTCAATATTCCTGCCCTGTGACGGCTATAAATAATTGATCTAGACAATCCAGTAATTGACACCATGAGCATCGATCCACGCAGTTGACAAACGATGCCATCAGTCAAACCACCGAGTCTGTCACCGGATCCGTAAGTCGCCGTAACCAGCATACGTCGCTGGGTACGAAATCTCTATCCGGATTTATCCCATCGGGAATCTTGGAAAATATGACAATAATTTCATATTAGTAAATACTTGCTACATAATAACATAGGTCTGCATTGTATCTGTTTCCATCTTCGTCGTAGGCCAAACATGCAGCGGAGGTGGGCGTTGACGCCATAGCTGCCATTCCGCCTCTGTTCTTCCGGCCAACCACTGTAGGTAGGTAATGTATGGTGGCTGATTAGGGCCATCGCTTTCTCGCCTTAAAATTCGGAGGCGAGAAAGCGATAACACGAGACGAGAAAGCGATAACACGAGACGAGAAAGCGATAGCACGAGACGAGAAAGCGATAACGCGAGACGAGAAAGCGATAACGAGAGACGAGAAAGCGATAGCACGAGACGAGAAAGCGATAGCACGAGACGAGAAAGCGATAGCACGAGACGAGAAAGCGATAGCATTGCGCGAGAAAGCGATAGAGCGAGAAAGGGATATAACAAGGCGAGAAAGCGATAGAGCGAGAAAGCGGTATAACTAGGCGATAAAGCGAGAATTTTAAGGCGAGAAAGCGATGGCCCTAATCAGCCACCTTAGTAATGCCATATGGCATCTTTTACAGTAGGTCGGTTAGATAACTATGGAATCCTGGAAGGGACATTGTCGCGTTGTCGCATTGTCGCATTGTCGCGCTTTGGTTAATTTTGCCTCATTTTGCTTGTTTTTGAGAGGGCGACAACGTGCCAATGCGACAACGCGACAATGTCCCTTCCAGGATTCCATAGATAACGGTTATTACACAAGTCTGTTTGGTTATGGTAAATACAATACATTAGGGATAAACAGTCTACTGTCCTTTGGCGATCGTAATACATATGCAATTTCCTTGATATAAATTTATTATATTTTCGACATCGAAACACACGAAGCTAATCGCATGATGTCAATCGCTCGATTCTTCACGTATTGTCATCAACTGGCCTTAAAAGCTATATGCGTGAGGCCTGCTTGGAAAGTTGGTGGGCCCTCTAGAATAGGTGAGCTCTGGTACCCAGTTACCGATGTGTGACGTAACAGGGTTCAAAATGGATCGTTTGTCAGGCTTTGTGACTTACCATCGTATCCTCAGTGTATCATCGGTGCTCACAGTATTGATCACTCGTTTGTTTAGTCCGTATTCTTTGATCCCGCAACTTTGTTGCTGAGACTGACTGAATTTGGTTTTACGCCGCTTTTAGCAATATTCCAGCAACATCACGGCGGGGGACACCAGAAATGGTGTTGCTGACACTGTTGTTGTTATCAACGAACGTTTTGCTTTAAATCTGACCTTTACACAAACCCATTGCTCAGAGGTCCTCGTGTTAACTGTAGAAATATATTCTGGATCTCACTTGTTTTACTTCTGCAGATCATCTGGTTGACTTTTTATACTTTCTATCTGTGAAGATCCGGGTTAGAATTGATCTTCAGTAACCCATGCTTGTCGTAAGAGGCGACTAACGGGATCGTGTGGTCAGGCTCGCTGGCTTGGTTGACACATGTCATTGTATCCCAATCGCGTAGATTGATGCTCAAGCTGTTGATCACTGGATTGTCTGGTCCAGACTCGATTATTAACAGACCGCCGCCATATCGCTGGAATATTGCTGAGAGCGGCGTAAAACTAAACTCACTGACCCACTCACTTATACTTTCTACAGACCACCTTGTGGACTACATGCGGCGTGTGGGGGAGGCTGCCCCTACCTTGCCCCTCTACCTGTACCATGTACCCCCTCTCACCTGTGTGGAACGTGAGTACAAATCTATATTGAATCCTACTCAATCCAGAGAAGTGAGGATTAGAGTGCTTGCAGATTTTTATGCACTGGATACTCAAGAGTTACCATTCACTGTTACTTCTTATAATATATGTGTATGTTAATTATACCATGTATGTGCGCGTGCGTGTGCGTGCTTGCTTGTGTGTGTAATTCATCACTTTACATACTTCTAATAATTCCAATTGTTTGATCGCCCTGAGTCTAAAAAAATCATTCAAATTAAAGTTGCAATACGTGTTACTATGTCACGGGAATATGAACATTGCCAATACTCCCGCGGGGAGACAATTGGGGATCAGATGTGTGACGTCAACGCCCGGTTTCAATAATCCACAAGGGGCGATGGGGTAGCCTAGTGGTTAAGGCGTTCGCTCGCCACGCCGAAGACCCGGGTTCGATTCCCCACGTGTGGTGCCCATTGTTGGTGATACTGCTGGAATGTTGCTAACAGCGGAGTAAAACTAAACTCACTCACTCTAATCCACAAACATATGGTGTCATTGTGCTGGATGCAACGTGAGAACAACTCTCACTATAATTGAGCTTTATCTTTGCGATAAGGTGGTGATGTCGAATAATGCTGACATACTGGTAACCATTTTCACTTTGTTGAATATCTAACTTTCTGCTGATAGCAACCCGTATCATTCGTAGTACACGCTAATAAGAGACAAGAATTTAGCATCTACCCATTAAAATGAGATACATGACTGTACATTATTACCGTTTTGTGTATAAGATGTGGTAGGAACAAATTGGCGGATGCATATAATCTTTTAAGTTTAATCGACGAATATTTTTGACTGCTGTAGGTTTAAGGGCAAAACAATAGAGGTGATATTTGTCGATTATTCCAAGGCGGTAAAATATTATTTTGCTCTCATTTAATAGTAAAGAATGATGTAGATGTAATTGAAACGATGCATGACAGTTCTCATAACATTGTGTGTTTAGAATACGCATTATATGCAGTAAACCATTCATAAAAAGGTCTTTCTCACCTTCAGTGAACATGGCTGACTTCCTCCGCAAGGCGAGAGATGTCGTGCCCAGTCTCCGAGGGGTGAAGTTTTCCTCCCAGGATCTGCCTGTAGTCAGTGAATGTGTCCAGACGGAGGACGCCCAGGGGCACAAGTACAACGTCCTGTTTGGCTGTGATCAGGTAGGGGACAGGTACATCACACTGTTTGGCTGTGATCAGGTAGGGGACAGGTACATCACACTTGGCTGTGATCAGGTAGGGCACAGGTACATCACACTTGGCTGTGATAAGGTAGGACACAGGTACATCACACTGTTTGGGTGTGATCAGGTGGGGGACGGGTACATCACACTGTTTGGCTGTGATCAGGTAGGGGACAGGTACATCACACTGTTTGGCTGTGATCAGGTAGGGGACAGGTACATCACACTTGGCTGTGATCAGGTAGGGCACAGGTACATCACACTTGGCTGTGATCAGGTAGGACACAGGTACATCACACTGTTTGGGTGTGATCAGGTAGGGGACAGGTATATCACACTGTTTGGGTGTGATCAGGTAGGGGACAGGTACATCACACTGTTTGGTAGTGATCAGGTAGAGAACAGGGGCATCACACTGTTTGGGTGTGATCAGGTAGGAAAAAGGTACATCACACTGTTTGGCTGTGATCAGGTAGGGAATAGGTACATTACACTGTTTGGTTGTGATCAGGTAGGGAAAAGGTACATCAAACTGTTTGGGTACATCAGGTGTACACTGTTTGGGTGTGATCAGGTAGGGGACAGTGATCAAAGGTGGGTGTGGGAACACATCACACTGTTTGGGTATCAGGTAGGAACACATCACACTGTTTGGGTGTGATCAGGTAGGGGACAGGTATATCACACTGTTTGGGTGTGATCAGGTAGGGGACAGGTACATCACACTGTTTGGGTGTGATCAGGTAGGGAACAGGTACATCACACTGTTTGGCTGTGATCAGGTAGGGAACAGGTGTATCACTTTGTTTGGGTGTGATCAGGTAGGGGACAGGTATATCACACTGTTTGGGTGTGATCAGGTAGGGGACAGGTGTATCAGGTGTATCACTTTGTTTGGGTGTGATCAGGTAGGGGACAGGTATATCTTTGACAGGTACATTGGGTGTGATCACTGTTTGGGTGTGATCAGGTAGGGGACAGATACATCACACTGTTTGGGTGTGATCAGGTAGGGGACAGGTACATCACACTGTTTGGCTGTGATCAGGTACATCACACTGTTTGGATGTGATCAGGTACATCACACTGTTTGGGTGTGATCAGGTAGGGAACAGGTGCATCACTTTGTTTGGGTGTGGTCAGGTAGGGGACAGGTACATCACACTTGGCTGTGATCGGGTAGGGAACAGGTGCATCACACTGTTTGGCTGTGATCAGGTAGGGAACAGGTACATCACACTGTTTGGGTGTGATCAGGTAGGGAACAGGTACATCACACTGTTTGGGTGTGATAAGGTAGGGGACAGGTACATCACACTTGGCTGTGATCAGGTAGGGAACAGGTACATCACACTGTTTGGGTGTGATCAGGTAGGGAACAGGTACATCACACTGTTTGGGTGTGATCAGGTAGGGAACAGGTACATCACACTGTTTGGGTGTGATCAGGTAGGGAACAGGTACATCACACTGTTTGGGTATGATCAGGTAGGGAACAGGTGCATCACACTGTTTGGGTGTGATCAGGTAGGAACAGGTACATCACACTGTTTGGGTATGATCAGGTAGGGAACAGGTGCATCACACTGTTTGGGTGTGATCAGGTAGGGAACAGGTACATCACACTGTTTGGGTATGATCAGGTAGGGAACAGGTGCATCACACTGTTTGGGTGTGATCAGGCAGGGAACAGGTACATCACACTGTTTGGGTGTGATCAGGTAGCTTGGGGGGAACAGGTGCATCACACTGTTTGGGTGTGATCAGGTAGGGAACAGGTACATCACACTGTTTGGGTATGATCAGGCAGGGAACAGGTACATCACACTGTTTGGGTATGATCAGGTAGGGAACAGGTACATCACACTGTTTGGGTGTGATCAGGCAGGGAACAGGTGCATCACACTGTTTGGGTATGATCAGGCAGGGAACAGGTACATCACACTGTTTGGGTATGATCAGGTAGGGAACAGGTACATCACACTGTTTGGGTATGATCAGGTAGGGAACAGGTACATCACACTGTTTGGGTGTGATCAAGTAGGGCACAGGTACATCACACTGTTTGGCTGTGATCAGGTAGACGACAGGTATATCACACTGTTTGGCTGTGATCAGGTAGGGCACAGGTACATCACAGTGTTTCGTGTACATCACAGGTAGGGCACAATGTCCATATTTCAGATACCACAAATAAATATGTCGCCTCTGACTTTACCTTAACCTTGTAGTTATTTTGTTTATTTTTAAATAAACACCAGTTTATACAGACAAATCTATTCCCCCAGCAACTGCTGTCGGCCCTGGTGCTGGGCGTGGACGGGGCTGTCGGGTCTACCTACAACTTCATGGCGGGGGTGTACCAGCGAATGATGGAGGCGATGGACCGCGGGGACATGGACGCAGCTCGAGAAGAACAGTACCGTTCACAGAGGGCATGCAAGCTGCTCTTTAACTATGGTCAGTATAGTAAATCGTGTTTGTTGTTGCCGCTCGTGGCACATTGTAGCTATGTTACGGCGGCTGTGTGTGATCGAATCTGGACCACATCTTCCAGTGATTGATACCATGAGCAACGATCCACGTGTTCGGTGTCCGTTGACATTTCTGATGTGTGACTGTCTACGTACACTGAATTAAGTACATAAATGTACAAACACTTTTACAGAGATATACGAATTTACAGGGCGAGGGATTTTAGTAGGAATAATCTGCAATGATTTAGGGGGATTCTCCTCAGTTTTCAATGAGATCCTCAATTGCTGGCCCGAAATCCAGTTAATCTGGTTGCTGGCGATAATTGGCAGCTGGTGATTACGGGCGAAAATTGAAACGATGGTGCCGGTAAGACGAGTGGGAACTGGAGTGTGGCTTTCTTTAATGAAATCAAATATCGACAATGACAATTACACTCATACACTGTCCTTTTTCAACTGGAAGGTCGATTTTTTGTAATCCATATATTCTGCTTGTGTGTACAGTGTTTTTGTTATCTATTTCCTTGAAGGTGTATCTTTGCTAATGCATTGTGCCAAGTACAAGAAAAATGTCACTTTCAGACTAAACGAGTAGGTTTGTTTTCAGCTACACAAGGCGGGAGTACCGTTTCCTGTTTGAAACAAATGATGGCATTCGCTGGGCTGGATGTTGGCCCACCTCGCTGTCCACTGAGAGCTCTTGGAACTGATGACGTCGCCACATACAGACAGGAGTTAGACGACACAGGCTTCTTCCAGTGGTACCGGAAGTAGTGCTTAGGTCCCAGAAGTAAAACATATTCTCGAAACGACTGGAGATACCGATCTTCTTTTCCAAATACCCCGTTAACAGAAAGCGCTGCTTCTGATCCGATCTTCAGACAATGCACACGTCCGGTCTCGTTTGATGGTTTCTTTTGTTCCAAACGGGGCATGATTACAAATACACCTACTTACTCAAACGTTTAGATTGATAAATATTATATCTTTACACTTCTATTTTGCCAAGTCAGGATTATATGCGTTAATGTTTCTTGATTTGATTAGATTTTGGAGATTTTACGTGCGCTTCCCCACATGATGCTATATTTTGTACATGATATCTTACGATCTTATGATAATTGTATGCCAGAAGGCAAGACCGTGCGTTCATTATTTACTGATATTCAAACTAGTGTCATTCTGATTGTCTGCCTAAAGACACCACATAACAAATATGCATTAGTTTTAAGAATAATCTGTTATGAATATTTTATGTCTGTGTCAACTACTTAACTTTCAACTAAAAATACACATTGAATGTAAAACGGTAAATAAATATTCAAGCTCAGTGTGGATTTGTTGTTGACATACTCCTGGGCATGTTTGTTAGCTGTGTTTTATCCTTTACCTTCAGCTGACAGTACTTTGGGCCAAATGGCTCCCGTCTACATCATCAGTTAGCTACTAATTGTAACATATTTCAGACATGGGTATGCTTTATCTTTACTTATCTGCATTCAACCAATATTGATATCATTTAATCAAAAGCGAACTTTAAAACAAATAGTATTTTGGGGACTGGTCTTATTTTATTGTTTAGGGGGTTGGGGTGATGATGAATTTAAGGGGGATTCACCCATTTTGTTTTGGGGAGGTGGAGGTGGGGTGTCATCAATTTTGTATCTGTACATGACATTGGGGGAGGGGGGAATTTTAGGGGGGGTTGTCATGCACATTGTACATGCTTCTGCATCAAAATCACCATCATCCCCCAAGCCACAAGTGATGAAGGGTCCCTTGGTGTGACTTTTCGATCAAGTCCTATACTATAACATCTTTTATCAAAATTCTTTCATCTGAAAACGTTGATGCTGTACATAACTCATGTCTGTACATGTATTCATATAAAGTAAAACAGCTAAGAGAAACTTAATCGATTACTTCACTGGCATGCATGATTCATGCAACCAAACATTGTCTGTATTATGGGCCTATGGTCTTTTTACTGACTGTCAGTCATAGGCTATCTGAAACCTTTATACACACAAGGTGAGGTGAGGTGAGGTGAGGTGAGGTGAAATTGGGTTTAACGTCGTGCTTGAGAATATTTCGCTCATATGACGACGTGCATGCATGTGCAGCTGCTTGTACTAGCCCAGACTGAAGCTGGTTTTATAGTGCTAGCCCACTGAGATGCCATGCCGCAGTGAAGCATGAATACCCCACTCAGACACATTATACTGACTCTGAGCCGACCAGTCCTTGTTGTACCCATTAAAGCTGAGCGCCAGGCAGGGACCAACAAGTACCATATTTTAACGTCTTTTGGTATGACGCGGCCGGGGATGGAACCCGCGACCTTCCGCTCTCCTTATACACACAACATGACAATAACAACTGATAAGAATTTAATGAAAATAGAATACAAAATATACATAATGTTTTGATATTGTGGAATGTATATTGCACAAAACCCCATGTACAAAACAGAGTCAGTTAATCTGGTGTTCTGATGTGCATCCTGAAGGTGTTACAACCTTGTGCAGTCAACGCAAGTCCTCAAGCCAGTTTCTGTCATGTAGCCTCACAATATCATATCCCAGAACAAGAAACACTGAAGGGATTACTACTGAAGACATGGATACATGTGGTCAAACATTGGCTGGCTTGACCTGAATTGAGCATTCTAATTATATGCAGGGTGCAAATGATGTAACGTATATTACCGTAGATCAGCCGATCTCATTGATAAAGCAAGACCCTAACTTGACCCTTAAAATCAATATCAAAATGGTATGTTCTGTAGATAAGCTGACCCCCTAACCTTCACCTATCATTTTGTCATGATCAGTCATCGGAAATAGTGTCAACAAATCCATATTGAATTATGCAAGTTTATCCTCCGATATTAATAACTTAGGATTGAGTATTGCTTCATTTATAACCCTGCAGGACAGTAAACACACAAATGCACATACATGTACCGCCACTATTCTTTGTAAAGGTTCAATCTATGTCGAAGTACCTTGTTCCTGCCTTTTTGAGCATTTTGAATTTTTTCCAGAAATATTTTTCCAGAAGGCTCAACACAGATATTATGATTTATGAAGTTGTCATATCAGGTCGAAACAGAACATTCTTACAAGATGTAACACATATTCTAAACGGAGATGAGAATAGATCGTGGTATGATACATACTGATCCTTTAACAAGTGTATTAAGTCATGTGTATATTACTGTTTGGAGGTAATGGTTCATTCACAACAATACTTCATGTGTTTATATACACTCCATTCCTCCCTTCCATCTGCAGTGCGATGTAATGTTAATATTTCATTAATTATGTAATGAGGCCATGCATCACACAAATAATTCGCATGAATTCAAGTTTCATACATGAACTGATTAAACCCTGACAATGTCTGCCACTGACTTTGAGTGAAAGGTTTTATATTGCTTCAGCAATATTCCAGCAATATCACGATTGGGGCCCCATAAATGGGCCTCACACATTTAATTGTGCCCATGTGAAGAATCGAACCCAGGTCTTCACTCGGCTGAACTTGAAGCATTGTATTGAGGTTCCAAGAGCAAAATGTTGCATGAGAAATATTCCTGATGGAATTTGAGGGCTCTTTGGTCGGAACCCTTATTTCCTTTTGTCTGGAACCAGGTCATTTCTTGATTTGTTGGTTAAAACACCAACTTCACAGTGGCCCGCGTGTAATCATATGATGGTGGAGGAACATGGTGTAAACAAACCCATAAAGTATTGACCATACATTTCATAGCAGCACATCAAACATCACAGGAATCAAAGTCAGACTCCAACATCTGCTGTTCTGAGCATCATTACAGGACCACCTTGGACCTTAGTTTGTTTTCAAGGTCACTGTAGTGAGTGCGTAGAGCCTCGATCTGACTCTCGTACTCCTCGTCCACGGTGGCGCTCCGTTCACACTGCAGACCTATGAAATCATTCCACTCCTTGGTTCGACGTTCATGTTCAGTTGACAAGAAACTAGCCTGTCAATAAAAATAAGCAGACTTTCAGACATCTTTGGTTTATATTTGCTATGCATCTTTGATTGAAAAATTACTGAATTTAATAAGTGGTCATGGAAGATTACAAATAAAGGAAGTCAGTGAGTGCTACCCCAGGGCTGGAAGATGTAAAGTTACATGTGACAATAACACCTCACAGTGAATTCCCTTCTCTGAACACAACACCAGTGTTAAAACCACCACTCCAACATCTGTTTAAAACCACCGCTCAAAAATCTGTATTGATTGTATCTAAGAAACATTTTGACTAATTAACAGCTCTTTGAATGAGAGCTAAAATAACCCTTTAATAGTCAGAAAGAACACATTGTTGAGTATAACAGGTGAATTATTGAAAGCGTTCCATGTTAGGGTAAGAAATCTTTATGAATCTGTAAACAAAATGTTCCGGTGTAATCAGTGACAAAAGTGAATTTATTATAGTGAATAATCTGAGTAATGTCATAACAGGGAGTGAGTGAGTGAATGTGATTTTATGCCTCTTTTAGCAATATTCCAGCAATATCAGGGCGGGGGACACCAGAAATGGGCTTCACACATTGTACCCATGTGGGAAATCAAACCCAGGGTTTTAGCGTGATGAGAAGATGCTTTAACCATCAAGCTACCCCACCGACCCGTAAGGTCATAAGAAATATGGCAGTCTATAAGGGAAGGTCATGGAAAATAATGCCCATATTCAGGGAGGGTATTGATATGATGTTTATACAGTATATACATTAAAATATAAAGAACTTTTTGATTTTGTCATTTCATGGCGGGTCATGGAAAAAAGTGTTCAAAGAAAAGAACAGATAACATAAAGAATATATACATTAAAATATAAAGAACCACTCGATAATCTCCAGGGTATACATTCCGTTCAAATCTCCACTCTGATAATCTCCAGGGTATACATTCTGATAAATCTCCACTCTGATAATCTCCAGGGTATACATCCGATAAATCTCCACTATACCCTGGATGCACCTACGGCTCGAGCCGATGATTTTATTACCTCCCTTTGCTGGCTCTGCATTCTCACAGTAGCCAATCAGATAAGCCGCAGTTACAACCGAGCTTGCCAGTGTCAACAAAGATATCGGTCGCAGCTGCGAAAGTTGGTTTGCAGTGTGACTCAGATTTGGGGGGGAAAACATACAGACAAATTGACAGGTCTGAAATCTTAAAAAAATATTTGCAAGAACTCCTACTACCTCTTTCAGAGTACCTCTGCAACAATTTATTATTGTGTTGCCAAGCTTAAACGGTTCGATAATTTAAAAAGCTAAAGTGAGTTGTGATTGGTACGCTGAACTTCCAAGCGTAGACACCTGATTGGATAAAAAGCCAACTAAGGGAGGTAATAAAATCATCGGCTCCAGCCGTAAATGCATCCTGGGTATAGTGGAGATTTATTGAAACGTATACCCTGGAGATTATCGAGGATGAGACAGTAAGGGCCATCTAAAATATGACAATTAATGTCTGCACTTTTGTCCATCAAAAACAATGGATCCATGAACCACTGTAATAAATGACCTATCAGTAAACAGAATTTCAGAAAACTAAACCAGACAATGACACATCATCTGCAATATTTGCCACGTGTCTGCACCCACCTCCTCCTCCTGCGTGCTGGTCTTGCCTTCCCGGTCACAGATCTCCTGGCACTGAGCTGTGGCGGAGTCCACTGAAACCATCATTAGTTAAATGTGTGAGACAGTGATCTAGGTGCACTGCTGCTTGGAACAATTACTCACTTACATCAAGGCTCATCTGCTGAACTGCGAGGATAAATATAATACAATTACACACCACACTGGTTGTAGGCATGTACAAATCAGTGTCCGGATCCACAAAGCACACACATGTAACGTTACAACCTGTCGTAACTGTATAGTTTACAGTAGGCTTATGACAATAAAAGAAATAGTGTTAACTTAACATGCTCATCTGGACAATGCATTTACCCTCTCTACATTATAAACAAAGGAGGAGTGGGTGAGTATCATTTTACGCTGCCTTTAGCAATATTCCAGCAATATCATGGCAGGGGACACCAGAAATTGGCTTCACACATTGTACCCATGTGGGGAATTGAACTCAGACCTACGGAGTGATGAGCGAAAGCTTTAACCACTAGGCTACCCCACCGCCCCAAACAAAGGAGCACAACAAACAAAACCGGTCTACCCAATACATCAATACAAAGTAATCTGGTAAATGAATGTAGACATGGTAAATGACTGTATCTCAGTGCTGAAATATTTACCACTTTCTTTGAGGTTGGCCACACACTGTTGAAGAGCCTCAGTGCTGTTGGGTAGCCCCTGTTCTTGGATGTAGGACATGTTTTTGTAGGTGCTGTTCATCCTTAGACCCTCGCGCTCCCCCCGCCGCTCCTGAACACAAACAGAGACATAGTACTTCACATTTGTCTATTACATGATGTCAGCAGATTTCTGTTAGTGTCAGCATGTAAAGGTTTGTATCATCAACTCCTCTAAGGTTCAGGGCCTCCTTTCGAAGCACTAGGGTAATCGTAAGTCACTAAGGTTACGTCAGTGCAATGTTAAAGAATGGGAGTTAAGGTTAACCTTAGTAAAGGCTGCTTCGTGAAAGAAGCCCCAGGGTATCAAATTAAATGAACTACCATATCATTAGATTATACATCCATCTATACTAATATTCAGAGATAACGGGACCGCCTCCGTGGTGTAGTGGTTAAAACGTCCGCCCGGAGAGCAGAAGGTCGCGGGTTCGATCCCCGACCGCGTCATACCAAAAGACGTTAAAATGTGGTACTTGTTGATCCCTGCCTGGCGCTCGGCATTAATGGGTACATCAAGGACTGGTTGGCTCGGAGTCAGTATAAATTGTTTTAGTGGGGTATTCATGCTTCACTGCGGCATGGTATCTCAGTGGGCTAGCACTATAAAACCAGCTTAAGTCTGGGCTAGTACAAGCAGCCGCACATATACGTATATACACACTCATGCACGTCGCCATATGAGCGAAATATTCTCAAGCACGGACGTTAAACCCAATTTCACCTCACCTCACCTCAGAGATAACAGCTGAGCATGTTCAAAACATTGATTTTATTAATAAGTGTCAGACTTCTTGTATTTCCTGTGTTTGTTTGTTTGTTGTCTAACACCACCCTCTGCAATATTCCAGCTATATGGTGGTGGTGGTGTGTAAAAAAATCAAGTCTGGACAATAATAACAATAGATATAATCCAGTGGTCAACAACATGAGCATCGATCTACGCAATACAATACCTGTCTCAACCAGGTCAACAAGCCTGATTACTCATTCCCGTTAATTGAATGTTTGCTAATATGGATTAGTTGGGTCTTCTGTTATTGACCATGTTAACAATAATCATGGCAATGCATATTGAACATGATGAGATTTGATCGCAACTTAAGGCTTCTATCCATGTTCGTTGCTTTAGTTTAAACATGTAAAACATGGGTCCAGTGTAGATTTACTTACTTCAAATTCCTTTAGAAAGAAGTTAATATGCCCCTGAAGAGCTGGCTTGTGATGAAATAATCTTGCATGTATAGTAGCAAAATCTGAAAGTGAACATATCATTAATCATCAGATTTTAGACTAATACATTTTGGTTCAATTTCTGTAGCATATACATAGTCAATACTTCACTGGTACCTTCCTCAATAATCCCTAAATACACAGATGTAAACGAGGCCAACATGTGGTGTACTAATGATGAGTGTCTATTTTTAGTCAATTAATTTTTAATTTTAATTCAAATGATTCAAACTCTGTGTATGACTTAAAACCATATAGTTGCCTGATATTGAAGCAGTGTCTAGATAATTGCCTGATCTTGACACATGTTCCAAGAGAGATACTATGTTTTGTACAATTTAATCTGAACACTCATTGGTGAAATATTCCGTCTTCTGTCCACATAGAAACAGGCTATGACTTGAATCATCAGTTAATGGTTAAAGTCAGGATTGCACAAAAAGGCAGCTGTATGTTGGTTGGTTGTTTAACGCCACACTCAGCAATATTCCAGCTATATGTTGGCGGTATGTAAATAATCAAGACTTGAACCAGACAATCCAGTGATCAACAGCATGAGCATTGATCTACGCAATTGGGATACGATGACAAGTGTCAGCCAAGTCAGCAAGCCTGACAACCCGATCATGTTAATCACCTCTTATGAGAAGCATGGGTTGCTGAACACCAATTCTTCACGGGTAGCAGCTGCATGAATTGACTGCATATACTGTAGTGTAATGCGCCTGAACAGGATCAAGCCTTTATGTGAAAGTTGCGACAAAATAAATATGCATGACAGAGTAAAAATAAATATGTCACATGACAGAGTGCCAAAGGATTGATGATTGGCTCACATGATGCCCTAATATAGAGCAAAAGCCATGATCTGATGATGAAGTTGAAGACTGACTGACTGACTGAGTTTGGTTTTACGCCGCTTTTAGCAATATTCCCAATATCAATGGCATGGGGACACCAGAAATGGGAACATTGTACCCACGGACGACTGTATGAAGATGGGAGACATGATTAAACATGTTAAACAGAGGCTTTAGACATACGACTGGATCGAGCACAGAGACCTAGTCATGATCATGATGATCCCAGTTGAAGAAAGTCAACAGCTTGAAACTCCTTTTTCACCGTCTCCTCCATTATATAGTGATCGGTGCTTTCGCACTTGTTCATCCCGTTACACTGGATTGGTCATCCGATGCTGCTCGTATGTTTCCGGGTGTGATTGAGGCACATGAGCAACTTACCCCCCCAAATCTGACAGATGACAGTAGACAGGTCGAGATGAGACCTACACTGAATCTGAGCAGCAAGTCTGATCTCTCCATTAATCAAGCTTGCAAAGTAAGATAAGCACCTATTCTTACCACTAGGTTTTCACAACAATACAGTACACCAACTTCTGAATGGTGTTGTATTCATGATGAAGCATATTTATATCTATAGAACAAAATGTTACATAAAATGAGGAGTGACAACCAAATACAAACGGCTAGTTTCAGTGAATTCTCAAATGAACTGGAGTGTAAGGCAAGCAGCGATAATTGCTCTGTTGTGGCTGTAGGAGTTTCTGCGTTTTACACTTATGGCAAATTGAACCCCCCTATTACATGGAGTGATAGACAGACGCGTGCCACTTATATTCGGACAATTGACGTAATTTCCATAGACTTTCATGTTAATCTAGTGTAGCATAAATAATTTTCATGCATTTAAGTTTCCAAAGATCCACGTCAAATTTTTGCACAGTTGTGAGGAATCATCTTACCTACAATCACATAGTTTCTGTTTAATTTTCCGTTGCATATTTATCAAATGGCAACCATTTAATCAACATATGTACAGTGCCGTGAACACCTTTAACATTGGGCCTATGGGATTGTGTATTGTGAAACTATACGTAAGTTGATAAATGTGATGTCATTAGTTAAATCGTGGTCGGAAAATTGACCTGAAATTATGTGCACAGAGCAGAATATGATTTCCCATTTGCCTGTCAAATTTTACAAAGATCTGTCCTAAACTCAGTTCATGAAAATTATTTCTGCTACACTAGATTATCATGTAAGTCTATGGAAATTACGTCAAGTGTCCGAATATAACTGGCACGGGTCTGTACATCTCATGATCCCACAGCCATACCCCTCCTGCCGTGGAAAATTCGCCCGATGACGCTAAAAGCCAATCACAAATTTTCACAATTCGACGTAATCACCAATATTCTGACCTCGAATTATTAAGTATGAGCGGAATATAGAACCTACCTTTGAAAATATTTTCGCATGACATGATTCAGGCGTAAGAGTCTTGCGTTAATTTGAAAAATCAACAATATTATTTGGACTTTCAACCGATCAGGAAGTTGCCACCCCTTTACCTCTTCTTATCAAGAGAGTTACCCAAGGGAGGCAACCGTAGGATACATTTGACCGTTGAACTGTGCTTTCCCTTCTTAGCGTTCAGGAAGCTGTTTTCTGCTCTACACGATCAGTTTTTAATAATCTTTTTAGATGAGTTTTATCTGTCATCTTGACTTAAACATGATTTTGCTCTTATTTACAATATAATTCCTAGTGTGTGTGTATGTATTGTATGTATGTATGTATGTATGTATGTATGTATGTATGTATGTATGTATGTATGTATGTATGTATGTATGTATGTATGTATGTATGTATGTATGTTTGTATGTATGTATGCGTGTGTGTGTGTGTGTGTGTGTGTGTGTGTGTGTGTGTGTGCGTGCGTGCTGTGCTGTGTGTGTGTGCGTTTTGCCTGTGACGTAAAAATAATGTCGTAAAAAATAATCTTCTAACGGATAATAAATCAAGGCATTTTGCTGACACCTAAAATATTTGTGAGCTACAGCGAAATCAATAAAGAATGTTTGCTAAACTTGACCGTTTCTGCTACAGTGTTGGCGGTAAATATAGTGCTGTATTTACCTTTTCAAGAACACTGTCATTTCAGGATGAACGTATTTTTATAAGGCCTGTAACAAACGTATTACAAATTTTTATGCCACGCCTAAGTGTTTCTGTAATCAAACAGAACCTTATTCACATTCCATGCTCAACATTTACCTTTTCAAAACATTCTGATGCACAATATGCCTTATTCATACAACAGAATCGGTCGTATTTGTGCGTCAAATAGTTTAAAGTTAACATATAATATGTACTGAAAAAGAATTTCAGAAAATGGTTATGCCTACAAAATAGTTTGGCTTGCAATAAAAACTCATCTATCATCTATCTTCTTTGATCAAGTTTATCTGCTTGGAAAAATACGCCAACGTATATATAATTAAACTACGTCTTCGTGTTTTCCGTTATAATTTATTTTTATGATACGTTCCTACCATTGGTTAGGCCGCAAGTTATCCAAAAGAACAGTATGAGAAGCTAAGTACAGTTCTTAACGCTGTACTGAACTTAAAGTATTGTAGCAACAGCAGAGTTGTCGGTGGAAGCGTAATGATGTGAGGGGTTCTCAAAAACCGTAGAACAATGAGTGAAGCTCATTTCTGGTGTCCACTGCCAATATATTGCTAGACTATTGCTAAAAGCGGTGTGAAACATTTTCACTCACTCTTCATATTGGAAAAGTGTCACATCATGGGGGAACAAATGTTTTACATCACACACCTAAACTTCTTTGTTGGAGATGATATATGGATTAAACTTCTCACCACAAACTGATGTATGATCTTACATTACGCAAATGACTGACTGACTGAGTTTAGTTTTACGCCGCTTTTAGCAATATTCCAGCAATATCACGGCGGGGGACACCAGAAATGGGCTTAACACATTGTGCCCATGTGGGGAATCGAACCCGGGTCTTCGGCGTGACGAGCCAACGCTTTAACCACTAGGCTACCCCACCGCCCCATTACGCAAATGAAATGCTCCCAGTACGTAAGAGCTCATTTTATGGACACAGGGTTTTTTTTTCTTTTTTTTTTTGACTCAGCGGTAAGTACACTTTAAAACATTATCAGTCGTCTCGCTATTGAATATTACTAAAGACATATGTATTCCTTATACTCTTGCTGCTAAAATGTAATAGTTCCTAATGCAATCCCAACGATTATGCTAGGGTGAGGTAAAGGCTGACTTGTGCTGGATAATTGTGTTCTTTAATTCAACATTCAGCAATAGCATGGTTATATGACGGCGTCCTATAGCTAATCAAAGCTAGGCCACTGTCAATCCAGAAAATTGAAAATGGCAGACAGACATTTATCTGATTAAAGTCTCACCTCGTACATAAGAACATATATACAGTACAAAAAAATTCATTAACGAGCCACCCATTTAGGGTTATGAGAAACTGTAAAACAGCTATTACATATATGTACACAGTTTTAAAAGTTATACATCTATTTTAAAAATCGGAATGCTAATTATATAAATATATGACAAAAAGAAAAAAGTTAAGTATTATGATGTAAAATATTCTGACACTTTTCCAATAAAAGCTTGCAGGTTTGGGCCGCTAAAAAGAGTACTTTATCATTGGACATAATAAAAGAAAACTTATCACCATCACATAAAGCTTGAAACTATCACCGACATCAGCACATTTAGTTAAAAGACTAACAGTAAGATCTGTATATAAAGGGCAGTGGAATAAAACATGGCATTCGTCCTCAACACATTCATGACAATTAAAACAAACACGTTCATTCAGGGGTAGATTGTTATAACGACCTGGCAATTCCTGTTCACGCTAAAATGTCACGGTAAACGTGGGGTGTGTCTTTTTCACAAACTATTGTTATAAGGTAAAAATACATCTGCTAAACAAGAAATTATAACAAACCCATTGTTGAGAATTACGGGTATTTTGTGATGGAATGGATGCAATCGCTGCTTGGTAAGAAATGAAGAGATAAAGAGCATAATAACTGGGAGTAACAGAATACATAGACTCTTAGTTATTAGTTAACGGTGAATCACCGATGAGTAGCTTGAAGTAATTCTCCGATAACGAGGTAAGACATGAGACCATGGAATGATGTAACTTGAACGAAATGTTGTATTGGGACTTGTGACCAGGGCGCAGCATGCTGGAACACTTTATGACGACACCGTCAACACTAGCAAAGCGATGCAGGTTTCAAAGTCAGCAGAACGTTCGCATCGCAATCGTTGCAGTTCCACATTTGGTAAAGAGCCTGCCTTGTCTGAGTCATCTTGTAAATGAAGAGAGGGATTGAGTAAACCTATGTGAGTACAGAGCCTGGTGTTGATTTAATTATTGTGCGCCAGTACATGAATGTAATGCGGATAGTTAAGAGTCCCCGTCGTCCGACCACCCTCTCCTTGACTTAACATCCCTCAACGGACCACACGAGTGTAGAACCTGAGCTTACATCTCCCCTGACAATGTGGAACGGTCATAATGAGTGAGTGAGTTGAGTTTTACGCCGCACTCAGCCATATTCCAGCTATATGACGGCGGTTTGTAAATAATCGAGTCTGGACCAGACAATCCGGGGGTCAGCAGCATGAGCATCGATCTACGCAATTGGGAACCGATGACATGTGTCAACCCAGTCAGCGAGCCTGATCACCCGATCCCGTTAGTCGCCTCTTACGACAAGCATGGGTTACTGAAGACCAATTCTAACACGGATCTTCACGGGTCGGAACGGTCATAAGTAGGAGGTGACTGTAATAGGGTCTGCTGACGCCCGAACGCAATTACAACACTATTCTGTTTACGTCTCATCGCTGTACTTCTTATAAAGTATAAAATAGGAATATATATGTAATAATATAAATAAATAAAGCATATAGAAGCAGACATTTATACCTATGTAAAAGCAGCAGTTTATCCACGTAGTATATGTTATCTACCCTGTGGCATTAAATATGCATTAAGATAGAACTTGTATTTCATATGTATGAAGTGTGTATATGAAAAGTGAAGTGTGTGTATGAAAAGTGAAGTGTGTGTATGAAAGGTGAACTGTGTGTTAAATGTGTTATTAAAAGTGAAATTTGTGTACGAATAGTGAAATGTGGGTATAAAAGGTGAAATGTGTGGATGTAAAGTGAAGTGTGTGTATGAATAGTGAAATGTGTGTATGAAAAGTGAAATGTGTACATGAAAAGTTAAGTGTGTGTATGGATCGTGAAATGTGTGGATGAAAAGGGAAGTGTGTGTATGAATAGTGAAGTGTGTGTATGAAAAGTGAAGTGTGTGTATGGATAGTGAAGTGTGTGTATGAATAGTGAAGTGTGTACATGAAAAGTGAAATGTGTGTATGAAAAGTGAAGTGTGTGTATGAATAGTGAAGTGTGTGTATGAAAAGTGAAATGTGTGTATGAAAGGTGAAATGTGTGTATGAAAAGTGAAATGTGTGTTTAAAAAGTGAAGTGTGTGTATGAATAGTGAAGTGTGTGTATGAAAAGTGAAGTGTGTGTATGAATAGAGAAGTGTGTGTCTGAATGGTGAAATGTGTGTATGAATAGTGAAGTGTGTGTATGAAAAGTGAAATGTGTAACAAAAAGTGAAATGTGTGTATGAATAGTGAAATGTGTGTATGAAAAGTGAAATGTGTGTTTCAAAAGTGAAGTGTTTGTATGAATAGTGAAGTGTGTGTATGAAAAGTGAAGTGTGTGTATGAATAGAGAAGTGTGTGTCTGAATGGTGAAATGTGTGTATGAATAGTGAAGTGTGTGTATGAAAAGTGAATATGTGTAACAAAAAGTGAAATGTGTGTATGAATAGTGAAATGTGTGTATGAAAAGTGAAATGTGTGTTTCAAAAGTGAAGTGTGTGTATGAATAGTGAAATGTGTGTATGAAAAGTGAAGTGTGTGTATGAATAGTGAAATGTGTGTATGAAGAGTGAAATGTGTGTATGAAAAGTGAAATGTGTGTATGAATAGTGAAGTGTGTGTATGAATAGTGAAATGTGAGTATGAAAAGTGAAGTGTGTGTATGAATAGTGAAATGCGTGTATGAAAAGTGAAGTGTGTGTATGAATAGTGAAGTGTGTGTATGAAAAGTGAAATGTGTGTATGAAAAGTGAAATGTGTGTATGAAAAGTGAAATGTGTGTATGAAAAGTGAAATGTGTGTATGAATAGTGCAGTGTTTGTATGAATAGTGAAGTGTGTGTATGAATAGAGAAGTGTGTGTCTGAATGGTGAAATGTGTGTATGAATAGTGAAGTGTGTGTATGAAAAGTGAAATGTGTAACAAAAAGTGAAATGTGTGTATGAAAGGTGAAATGTGTGTATGAAAAGTGAAATGTGTGTTTCAAAAGTGAAGTGTGTGTATGAATAGTGAAATGTGTGTATGAAAAGTGAAGTGTGTGTATGAATAGTGAAGTGTGTGTATGAAGTAGTGAAATGTGTGTATGAAAAG